TACGTAGGTAGTAGGTATGGGTTTTCAGGGGGGGCCTTTGCGTTGCGCCGTGGGCCTGGTGTCCAGTTGAACCTTGGGCTTGGAGCCTTGGGGCACTGACGCGTGACGGGGGGATGATGGTAGCACTCCGTATGGCCCCTTCTCTTGCTTTTGGGGGTGTGGAATGGTGAGGATGATGGCCGGTGGATGTTTATGACGGACTCGGTGAGGCGGACAGCAGTCGGCGCAACTGGGTGCGCGACGCGGTGTTGAGTAAGATAAAAGAGGATCCGGATCCGCAGAGAGATCGGAGAATATCCGTATGCAGTTTGATGTACGGTCAGAGAAGTGGTGCTCTGTGACTGGGTACCGATTTGTCTAGAATCTGTTGAGATCGACGGTGCTTGCAAGGGGTTTGAGGCTTAACCGTCGCTGTCGGCTCACGAGGCAGAGGAAAAAGAAAGGGTATGGGAGGGATGACGGGATGTTTGGTTACTGGTGTATTCCCATCCGAGACTGAGGAGACGGTCCTCCGCAGAGAAAACGGGACTTATTGGTGCTGAATATGACGCGCTCGGTGGGGAGAGAGAAACGAGACTTGGAGAGAAGAACCGAAGAGAGAGAGAGCAACATGAACAAGGGGAAGAGAAGGGAGGGGCAATGAAACGCGGGTGCGCGAGTCAAATATTCCAACTTTTTTGTTCGTTGATTTTCTTGATTGTTGCGCTGTCACTTTTGTGTGTGTCCCAGTGCAGCCGGACGGTAAGGTAGGTAGACCCGACAGAATCCAGTGTGGTCACCGTGGCGTGGCGGCAAAAACTGGGCAGGTGCAGAGTTAGGTATTGACCCGTCACGACTGTCCGTTTTGTCAGTGCCTTCCTAATTCCCGTCCCCATCGCGATGGTGCCTGCCTGTGCCTGCGGCCTGCCTGCTCGATGTCCACCCGCGACTCCAACTTCTCCTTCCTCTTCCACCGCCAACCTGCAACCCTCGGCCACTAAAGGGCCAGAACACGCGCGCCTGATCGGCTTCACACCTATTTGGGGGAAGGAAGGGCGCGACTTGCCACTGCCTGGTGCTCTTGGCCCGCATGCAACCGGGAGACTGTGACACGCGGAGAGTGCGAAGTCATGTGATCTTAGGCACCAGCCCCCTCCAGCAATACGTACCGGGCATGAGCCATGTCATCGATTTTGTGGCTGCCCGTAGCTCCGGAAATGCTGAGTCATTACGGAAACATTGATCTATACACGTGACTTATGTCCACCTGACGCTCCATGTCTTTCTAGATCCATGGCACGTGAATGGAGATGCTGCAGGCAATTGCTGCGCCACAAATCTTGGACCCCACCCTTGAGTCTGAGGCTGGAGCACACCCCGTAGATGCCGTCAAGCCTCAGAAGCCACAAGGTCCATTCGGAGCAGTGTGAGGTGGACGTCAGTCGCTCCCCGTCAGCTAAGTGTCGCGCCCCACCATCGGCCGCTTGCTCTCCATCTCCAGTGCAGTTGACGTCTCCCAACTGCATTTGCGACCAATCCTCATCAAGACCAGCTTAACATTCTACGACACCGAGCGCTCGGTCAGGCGTATTCTTCAAGATGCCGGTATGTCTGTGTGATGCTCATCCCATAGGTAGCTCGCCTGAGCTCTCTCTGTCTCTGAGGCTCTGGCACAGCCCGTACACTTCAACCTACTCCCCCAACCCGCCTAAACCGAGCTGACGATGACCTTTACCCAGGCCTACAATTCCATGTTCAATGCCGACCCGAACGTCCCTCGCACAATAGGCAACTTCCCGCTGCTGCCCTTGCGCACAAAGACCCGCGGCCCGGCCTATACTCTTCCCTTCCCCAACCCGCCTCTGCCCGCCAATGAGTCTCCCGACCCAGACAGCGAAAGCTACGACATCCTCGACGAGGTTCTCGCCCTATTCCGCGCCAACACCTTCTTCCGCAACTTTGAGCTTCAGGGCCCCGCCGACCGCCTTCTGGTTTACGGCATCTGGTTCGTCAGCGACTGTCTGACCAAGATCAAGCCTAGCGCCGGCGTGCGTGATGCTTCCAAGGATGTCATGAACGTGGCCCTCGATACCAACTTCGCCATTCCCGGCGACCCGGCATGGCCCCTGAACCAGGTACGGCAGCCTTCCGAGGTCCAGTGGCATTTCTTGACATTGACAATTGATGTAGATGTACGAGCCCCCGCGCGATAGACAGGACGCCGAGCAACTCCGCCAGTATATGTCCCAGGTCCGCCAAGAGTTGGCAGTCCGGTTACTGGCACGTGTGTACGAAGAAGGCGGCGATGGAAAACCGAGCAAATGGTGGCTGAGCTTCACCAAGAGAAAGTTCATGGGCAAGGCGTTGTGATGACGGTCGTCGAAGTAGAATCGCCAGAGACAAGCAAATACCTTGGTTGGGGAAAATGTTGAAGCGCATAAGACAGGACAATATGATGATGCCAATTACTCCAATTACAGCTTGATGGGCTTTGATAGGAGGATGCTAGGGTATCTATATGCAAGCCTTTCTCTTTCGTCTTTCCTCTCGACCACCGCCCAATGGTGCGTCAACGTCTCCTCAGTATCCGGACTTGCTCGTTTTGTTCATGCTTCCACCTTTCTCCTCTTGAACTTGCCTCTTGCCTCGACCTTACCCTCTGCCGGAACTGCCTTCCAACCCGTAAAAACGTAACCATCCGCCCCGCCGCGCCCCATCATCATGGGGTGTGTGCGACCGGGCAGAACTTGCCACCGCTTCGCGCGGCTCGTCTGGACATTGGCGCCCAAGAGCAGAGTCGGGTTGATGGGGAAATCGTCTGAACCCTCCCATCGCTCCAACTCCTGGACAGACTTCCCAGCTGCCTCGGCCGGAGGATTTGACGACCAGCCTGCGCGGCGGGCAATGCTGAAGCAATCGGCCAGTTCCGTCAACGGCTCGATGCTTTGCGAGTAGACGGCAATCGGCGCTCCACCGGCCAGGAGTGGCAAGGTGTGACGGAGGATGGACACCGTGTCCATCGTGCTGGCGATGACGAGACCGGAAAACCCACCAGCGCGCGTCGAGTCCACAATGTAGCGGGTTCTCGCCCAACGTCTTCGCTTCCGGTGGTAGTTACCACGCCGGTTAGCCTTCCATGAGTGCAGCTCCTCGTCCGAGACCTCGGGGGGCGGTGTTGAATATGTGACATCCTCCTCGGGCTCCAAAAGCTGCAGCCATGAAATGGGCAATAGGTTGGTAGCGAGGGGATGAAGCGGGTAAGGCGGGTTTGGATTTGTGCTGTCAAAGTTGTAGTATTTGAGGAGGGCGAGGTTTGGCTGGCTGTTGGGATGGATGAGCGTCAAGGTGTTGGTAGGGGCAAACATGGCTTCAAAGTCGTCGCGACGGGGCGGGTGTCTTCGTCGGGGTTGCTGCGGCTTTGTTGTCTCGCCATCATTTGTCATTGTGGCATCAGCTGTGGCCTCCTCGGGCATTGTTGTTGTTGGGTCTTGTACTGCAGTCTCTGTGCTTGTCTCCTGTGTCTGTTCTGTCGCGGCGACGTCAATGGTGGCGGTGGTGTTCTCTGCTGGCTTGACTCCATTGGCTTCTTCCTTGCCAACATCTGTAGCATCCTCCACTTCTTGGACCTCTTCGGGGTCCTTGGGGTATAGTATGCCCATCCTCTCGGCCATGGCGGCGGTAACGAGACCTCCTGTGTCTTCCACCACAAGCCACCGACCTCCAATCTCGGATTTGTCCAACATGCCAGACCCATCAATCGTCACGGTCTCGGGCTTGTCCGTGGGAGATACGCCGCCGAAGTGGACGTTGGCCCAGGAGTTCAAGAGCCCCATCGTCTCCTCCCGCATCTCCAGCACCTTTCCCGCATCCTTCTCTTCCAAGAGCCACTTGCCTAGCGTCAGAGGGTCAAGTGGTTGTATCATGAACCGTCGAATATACTTCTTGGTCTTGAGCAACTTGTACTTGGCGAGAGAGAAGGCCGTCTTCTGGTCAATGGCGGTATGCGACAGCAGTAGCTTTGCGATGATCTCCTTGCCGGCGTCTGTGTTGCCCTGCTTTAGCTGCTCAATCTCCTCGGCGGTCAAGGTCTGGCGGGCGGCGTCGTCGATAATCTCACGTCGCGAGTGGGCAACTACGTTGCCGCTTTCCTGATCGACCAGTTCGAATTCTGCGCCATCGGGGGCGGCAATGACATTCTCAAGAGTGGTGCCCTCCTCCTCGGTGTTCTGGGCGTTCAAGTCGGCCAGAGCGTCGGCGTGAATCTCGCTCGTAGAGACGACTCGCAGTCTGTTAAAGTTCTCGCCATCCCGTCTATCTTGGATCTCGTAGGTGATGTGAAATGGGCGCTCAATGATGAGGTTGCTAGGGAACGAGCCGAGTTTACCCAGTGAAATCGTGCTGGGAGCAGAAAAGAAAAGAAGTTAGCTGTCGTCATACCAAATGTCTACTTGATGAACCTACGTATTGGGTACAATCTGCAGCACCTTCGTATCTTCTGAAAGCAACTTCAGAGACACCCATTGGTGCGGTTGGACAACGTGGTGCATGGTTGCGACTGGATAGGCTTTACCGGGCTAAAGGTTTCGTCCAAGCGAAGCTGTCGCGAGAAAAAAAAAATGTTTATGAGCGAAGCGTTAATTGGCGGCCTTATCGTTATCGGGAAACTCGGTCGCCACCATTCGACGGCTTGGTGCCAGTTTCCATGGAAGGGACTAAGAATAACAGGCCGTCCAGGTACCCCGCGCGGGGCACTTGATCAACTAGTCGCCGGAACATCAGAAGTTCAGAACGAAGACCCTGTAAATTCAGCGTACCTTAGTGATACCTCACTGCGTGGGGAACTTGATCAACCCGGCTCAAGTTATCAAATCCGACATTCTATCTTGCAATCAAGCGAGCCAATCTCTCACCAAAGCCTTCCGTGTTTATTCAAAATAGCAAAAGTAACGCATTTCTCAATACTGCTCAGTCTGACCAACTTGTCTGGTGCGCTCTGGGGCCTAACTTCTTTTCAGCACTTGTCAGAGGTTATCCCCCTCTCGGCGTGGAATGTTGCCTGTACCAAGCATTTTGTTGGCCCGTTCTTTCATCCCGACTAGCCTTAAGATACCTGCTGTGGCATGGAGAAGGAGAGTTAGGGAACCGAATAGCAAGAGGGGTAGAAGGGTGTAAGTCGTAAAGACTGAGAACGAGTATTGATTAGCAGGGGCTTGAAAGCATCACCACACGATGCCTGAGATACCAACTTACAAACACCGCCCCCTGTTTGCTTGACAACATCAAACAGTTCGCCGCGCATAATGGGCAGCGCGCCCTTTGTCCATCTCCATGGACCAATAAGACGAAATTTGGTGTTAAAGTTTGATCCCATTGCCCATGTGAAAAGTGCTTTGAATCCTTGACGCTTCATAAAAGAAAAGGTCGGCGCGCTGCCCATGTCGAGAGCAAGCTGATATGCGTAGGATTCCTGTTCAACACCGTGCTTGCTCTTGAACAAGTCATGTCCGCCTCGAGCCTTGAGAGCGTAGTCGATCTCATAGTGGGGAATAGCATCATCATTGGACTCTCCTTGGCTGGCATCAGGAGCATGCAGCGCCATCTGTTGAGGGTACTTGTGCCGGAGGAGGTTAAGAACCCATAGTTGCGCTTGTAATTCGGCGAGAGGCGGGATAGCTCCTGAATAGATGGTGTTAGCACGGCAGACTTACACCCACAACAACCAACAGGGGCCCTACCAATGCCAGGCCGTACGAAGCCAATAAAACCAGCAGTCACCTCTCCGCGCCTCCAGATCCCGCGGACATCCAGCTCACTGGGTTCCGGGTAACCGTCGTCCAGGAAATCGAACCGACGCACATATCCAGTTGCGGCGACCACCAAGTCGGGCTTGATGACTCGAGATAGCGCCTCAACGTGCTCACGCTTCTTGCTGTCCGGAAACACGACAGTCCCATCGTCCCGGAAAGCCAATGGCCAAGGTGCCGTCAATATCTTTCTGCCACTTGTGTTTTTCAACTCAATATTCATCACAAAAGCTCTGATGCGAGAGAAAATGTCTTGCGGCCGATTTCCCTCATTGAGATATGGCAGCGCGCGGTCGGACTTGACCAGAAACACTTTGCAAGTCAGCCATGCACTCATTTGAACTATTCGTATTCATTCATAAGAGCGAAGAATATCTCCTCTCGGGAGAATACTCACGTGAGTCAACGTTATTGCGTTCACCCTCAATCTCTCCGACCCACTGATCCGGGCCAGCCGCCGTCCCGCCAGAGAGGTAATGAAGAGCCTTGAACGTCTTGTCGTACACGCTCCAGAGCAGATTGGAGTGTTGAAGACGCTCTGGAAGATATGCAGTGTCGAGGAAACTTGCGATTGCTGTGTCGACTGGCTTCTGGTGAGGATCCGGCTTCCAAACCTGCATGACGACTGGTAAAGGAACAACCTGTGGTAATCAGCGTTGATCTATGCTAGACCAATCAAATCGCATTATCAAAGTAGAAGACAAGTTAGGTACCTTCTTTGCGCAAAAGAAACCACCTTTGTGACACATCACCACTTCCCTGGCTTCTGAAGTTACGGCTAGGTGGGCTAGGTCCATTGCCGTTTCTCCGACTCCTAGGATCATCACAGACGTATTCAACCCAAATTGCGTTCTTTCCTTCACTTCGGAAGAGTGGAGATGCTTCACGTTCTCCAGACCTTCGATGTATGAGATGGACGGAACGTTGTTGAGACCGGAGCAGACGGCGATGGCATCACAGTCCCATGACTCCTCTCCATCTTGGCTCTCTGCAACTTCCAAACCTGGAGAGCGGCGAAAAAAGACGCGGTGGCCATTGGCTGTATGAGAAACTCGAACAATCTCCGTATTCGTCTCTATAATGCCCCAAAGATCAAATTGGGTACAGAAGCCCTCGAGGTAGCGAACGTAATCCTCTACCGGCAGAAAGTCAGGTAGGTCTTTTGGCACACGAAAGTCCGAGAACGCCGTGAGATACTTGGATGACACCATCTAGGAGGTTTTACATCCATTGTCAGCTGTCTGGCATACTTTGTGAATGGATTTAGATGATTATGCGAAGCGAGGCTCCCATATTGAATGATGTACGGTGGTAAGGAAGGTTGATGGGCCAATACCTCGGCTTCTTCGTAGACCTTATACTTGTAAACACCACCCACTCCGTCTTCCCTCTCAAAGATCCGGACCTCGATATCAAGTATGCCGAAGTACTGTCTAGCCTGACGAAGGTACTTAGCTGTGACCAAACCAGAAGCACCTGCGCCGATGACAGCAACTCGAATGGGCTTCATCATCGATCCCGCCGCTCTCTCTATGATGGCAGTTTGGCTCATATTGCAGACCGCAATTTCTCGTCGTCTTTGAACTGAGTGTCGCAACAGCTCCGAACTGTGAATGACGTTCAAGGTGTCGGAAGTTTGTCGTTGGAATGAAGTCTGGCCTGTCAGACTTTACCTAAGTATCATAGTAGTCGATGACTTCGAGATCAAGGAAATTTGAAACAAGAGTTCTGTTTCGATGTAAAGAGACAAGACAGTGCACTCGGACCTATTGCGTTTTGTATGCAGTCTTTGCTATTTCAGCCAGACTGCGGCCAATGGCTAATGAATCTCACTTGGCCTTGACGCGAAGGTAAAGGGGAATGTAGAAGCTACAAGGGACTGATGAGAGTCGATTTCCGGAAAATTCGGACTTTGATTGAGTAGGTATTGAATGTGTATTTGCTGGAAGTTTCAACAAGATTGACTCAAAAGCAGCAAGCCATGAACTTAGGGAGGGAAACTCGGGCGACCAGGTTAGGTTCTGGGAGCTAAACACAAGCGAATCTGCAAATCGCAATCTAGACACGAGGTTGTAGGGAACATAAGATTTTAGTTCAAATCCTACGACAGCATGAGCACAAGCGACCGACTGCCAGCAACGCAAGGTCGTTCTGCGGTTTCTAATTAGTGATCTCACCTGAAAGCTGCATGCTTACAGTCAAGACATCAGGCTTGTCTGCCACTGGGACCCTTACTCTTTCGGGAATCAGAAGATCCCGTTCACCCTCACAACTCGCGCTGACGCTCACACCATCTCAAGGCAGTTGCCCAATCGAAGGTGACGTTCGGCCGGAGCTGAGTTGGGGGCGAAGTGCCAATGTGGCTCAGCCGGGCCCCGAAGAATGTTGGACTCTTCGGTGAGTTGGAAATATGAGATGATTGAATGGTCATAGTAACCCAAATGTGGGAACACCATGGTGGTAAGGCTGAATTACAGAGGCAGATGATATGATACCTGTGTCAGATCGATCCGGGCAGCCGATTTCATGCAAGGGAAGTCCAAATTGTCTTGTAAGCCCGGCGCTTACGCTCCAACTATTGATTTGAGCAGCAAAGCAGGGACTTTCGTCAATTCACGAGGCGGGGCGTTCGAAAGTCTCCAGCAACTACTAGGGTAAGTAGACTCGACTTTGGACCGACTGCGTGCTAAATCGTATCAGGAGGTGCGCCGGGTTACAAGGATCTTGTGTAATAGATTAAATAATTCCGATGTCGCCTACCAGGCATCCGCTACCATGGTGCTTCTGAGATACATTAAACCTGAGAGCAAAGACCCGAACTGGCTTTAAGGCGATTCTCCATTAGTGAGATGATCTCGATCTTTGCCAAGCCTCTCGATTTCTTCTCTTGGCCATCGCAAATACTGTCTATACTGAGGCCCTAAAATGAGTGCGATGCCATGAAGAATGTGGCTTGCCCACCCCTTTATGTACCACATCCATTCGAGCGACTTGAGCAACACAACAAAGTGTGCCAGGATGAGAAGTGCAAAGGGCCTCTTATGTTTTAGACAAAGCACGAAATCATCATCGATACCATAAATGCAACCGATAATGACCTCCATCTTGCCGTTACAATCAAGCCTTGGCCTTGCAGTTGTACCAAAAGTTGTCTCAAAGCAAGACGAAACCCGTTGAATCATTTCCAAGTATACGGGGGTTTCTGGATCGCCAGAGCATGTAATCAAGTCTGTAAGACTGCTCAAGGCAGGCCCCCATTGGACTAGTCGTCTCGTGGGACCTGGCTCTGGGAGTGACTTCTCGTCATCGGCAGCCGAGAGGGGACCCAGAACTCCAGAGTAGATGGCATCCCATCCCATTGTTGTAACAACAATTCGAACACCCCTAAGTAATTCGAACCATGCCACTTCTTCTCCGTCTGAGACTATCAAGAGGTGTTCTGGGCTAGGCTTCTTTGCGAATGCATACGCACAGACAAGCGTGGTAGATATGTAAAGTGCTCCAGCATAGTCTTTATTAGATGTTGGCATGATGGCCATCACTTGGCGTAGGCCTATGGTGTAGTGAACATCTGCGAGCTGCTCATATTTAGATGACTCGGTAGAGTTCTCTTTCTCTTTGGATAAGTGTAGTGCGGAGATTGCGAGAAGCAGATGCAGGACGTAATGGTGCGTGAAGGCAAGACGGGGGACTCTCTCCCGCCAGAATCGCGAATTTGAGTATGTAAGATCGTCAGACGTTAAGAAGTGGTGCTGCAACTCGAGATCATCTACGGTCCATATCCAAGGAAGATCCGAGGCTACTTGTTCCTGCTGCTCCCCGCTCTGCGTGACTACGAGAGCTGTGTCAATTGACCTGGATCTTAGGCTATCGGGTGATTCGAAGAATTCTTGGGGGCTTAGCCCTTTGGATGCCGTATCCCAATCTTTCCGCGGTCTCCCTCTTCTCCGCGAATTTCCATGAGAAACGGTCTCGACGATAACATCATGAGTTGGGACGAGGTCTGTGATTGATGCTGAAGCGGCAAAATCGCAGGTTATAATAGCTTTCGAGCATTGCCCACATTGGGGTTTGGCTTCATCACACTGGTGTCTGGGTCAGTATTAAAGTGGAATGTTAGGTTCACATTGCGTACCTTGATTCTTCTTCGCTTGCAGGTTTTACACCCGTTACGGGACTTCTTATGTGATCGCCTTTTTGTGATGTGGCACGTCGTACACGTACAGCCAGGATCTCCGTGTTTCGCAATTTTCGCGTCCGGTTCACTCATCGCTGTTGATATATCCTAGATCCAGCTACCGTCTGAGATGAACAATTCATGTGTGACTGACTGGGGGGTCTCGAGGCTTCTTGAAGACTTTTCTCCCCCAAGGGTGAGGAAAGGGGGGCGTTGAAGTAAGGATAGAGGATTAATTCTAGGAGGGCAAAGGGGGGGTTGCCACTAATTCTTAAGGCTCTAGGGGGCATTATGAACTCCCCTGCCTAGCACTGCCTCGGTGGGCCGTGCCCCCCCCCCCCCCGCTTCTGCCCGTCTATACGTGGATCCACCTTGTATCTACCGCTTTGAGAAGCGTTTGTGACAATAGCTTCTGTTGTAGGCAGCTGCTTACTCAAGTATATTACTTCGCCTTCGTTCGATAGACTCTAGAAATACACATCTTTACAATTGTAATATGGAGTGTACAGCTGGACACTTTATAGTCTGAAAGCTGGAGCCCAAGGTCGATTTTTGAAGACCACCCGCTAAAGGACACGCACAACTCATGCCTTTTAATCTGGACGAGGCCACCAACTCCTTTATACAGCGCATGACCAACCTGCCGGGTCTCCAGCCGTCGTCTTGCTGTATACTGCCTTCTTTGGGTACGGGCAGATAACCTGCCTCTCATGAGTATTGTCCGGCTTTGTGATGGTCACTGGAGAGCTTTCAGGAACTGTCCCATTCTCGACCCAAGACCTCAACTGATCAAATAACGCGATGGGCTGGCCGCCGCCAGGGCCGCCCCAGCAGTGCCCCAGTCCCGGGACTGGGAAATATCTATAGAAGTCTTGTGCATCATCTTGGTGATTCAAGACGTCCTTATAATAGTTCAATGTATTGTTGGGCGGAATAGTCGGATCGGCCTTAGGCTGTGTTAGTCCGTACTGATAGGTACATGTACACGGGGACTGTACATGTAATAGCTGATGATATGCGGAGACTTACCAAGCCATGGAAAGTGATCATCTTGCCTCCAGCATTACGGAAAGATGAAAGGTCTGGGTCATCAGTCCCTAGGTAAGCATCATACTGTTGTCTGAAAGAGTGGTATGCTCTCTCCAATTCCTTGAAAGATATCTTTGTAGTAGTGATAGCGGGATCTTTGCCGATGAAGTAGGCCAACAACACTGTGACAGCGGCGTTGGGAACTCCAGTACACTTCCCATCTTCTGTACAGCTAGTTTGAGCACCAAACACTAGATCGGTGCCCATTTCCAGACCATACAGGTATGTTGACTCTCCTTCAGCCGTAAAAGGGCCCGTCCACATAGCATCCGCTACAGCGGCTGCCGTGTAGCTGATATTGGCCGATTTCCCGGTCAATGGGCAGTTGAACTCTGTTCCGACGTAGGCGTGAGGATCAAATATGGTCTTGCAGGCAGTTGTGTCGGCGATAAGGCCATCCTTAACTCCATCAAGCCCATCGCAAGCAGATACAGCAAGTGCAGTGAGCTGTTGCAGCTCGCATGGGTGAGGATACTGGTCAGTGACGTCCATATAGACCCTGGGCCATATGGTGTTGATAAGGACCCCGGCCCAGTTGATCGCCGGGGCTGCTGCGATGATTCCGTCGTAGATCGATGGGTACCTCTGGGCAAGTGCCGCACCCTGACGACCTCCTTGGGAACAACCATTCCAGTACGAATATGAAGGCTCCCTGCCGTAGTAGTTTTCAATGAGGTGCTTGGCGATGACTGCCTTAGGTTCCTACGTATTAGCGAAGTCGAAGCCTCGACACGGTTAAAGACGCCCACTTACCTCGTCATACAAGGTCTGTGACCCAAGATCCTGCAATGCGTACAGATTTGAGTTACCTGGACTTATCAGAGCCCACGAGTCCGGCCCCATGGCGTCCCCAAGTCCAGAATCCGTGGTTACAGTAGCATAACCATCTGCGATAGCGCCGGCCATAGTCGTATAACTCAGAAGCATTCTCCCAGCGCGCCACCCCCCACCTCCCACAGCTTGAAGTCTTCCGTTCCAGTCCTCGGTTGGAAGCCAGGTCTCGACATTGACAACATCACTATGGCCAGGGTGAGTGTAAGAGACGGTGATATTGCAGAAGGAGGCATTATGTATCTCGACAGCTGGCTGAGAGAATCTCCACTCTGCAGGTATAGGCCCGCTGAAGTTTGTGACCAGAGACGCTTCCAAGGAAATAAAATTTGCTCCTAGCAACGATGGCGCCGAGAATGTTGTGGCAGCGCATGGGTTAGGATGGATGCTTGTGCTGGAAGCCCCCAACCTTGGTTGTAAAGCTCCGAGAGGAGCCTGGGAACCGGGGCCTCCGGGAGCAAGGGATAATAGTTGGGTGATTCCGGCTGGCATTATTTGAGGTTGTTCGAGTCAGATCCTCAAGCGTTGAGACGATCGATTTTGAATCTATTCCTTGATTGTCCTCTATCTTGCAAGGGTACTGCCCGAGATCAAGTAGACGATCAATTAATAGTTGTAACGTTGTTGCATGCAGCAATTCTGTCATGACAAAAGTCGGATCCGTCACTTCATCGCTCGTCAGCTGCAGTTGTTTCACAGCTTCCATGCCTCGGCGAAGCTCCCCGCCGAGTTCAGCTGGTCCCTTGCTGCGAGCGGTCTAGTGGACTGACGAGGGGCCAATAATGCCCGCTGCCAATCGGAGTTCGTCTTTTTCTCGTATCAAATACGATAATTGAGGCATCGAGCATGGGCCCCATGTTTCCGCGCGTTTCCGCTCTGGGGCATAAACCGGGGCAAGTCTGTTGAACTTCCGCATGAACACTCGATGACTTCGTGCCTGTTTGCATGAAGCTCTGCTGACTGCTCTTTGGCCTTTCAAGTGACCAATTTCTCGAGAAGACTAAACCATGGCCAAGAATGACCGAGCTCTTCGACCTTATTCTATGGTGCCAAGTCTGACCTTCGTTGCTATCAATTACTCAGTGAAAAGCCCCTTGGTAACATGGTCTTAGCTTCGGCCTTCATTCCGCAACTGCACAGGCTCGGCCAAATGAAAGGTCCTTGCTCCTATACCAACACATAGCAAGATGCGTGCTCCGCGATGGTCTCAGCAAGTTGGTCATATTAAGCAAATAATGTGTCGTATTTCTATATAAAGTATGAACTATAAATGAAATGTATTGGATGAGTTTTACGTAGACAACTCACGCCAGTGAGCTACCTTATCTTACGCTGCTATACGATGATAGTCCTCGAGATGAGCGCATGCACGCCCTCAAGTAAGGTAGGCAATAATTTAGCAAAACTTAATCGAGGATCGAGAGGGGACGCTTTTCTCGTAGCTGTTCAGGGTTGCAAAGTCGAGCAGTCAACGATTTCGATGATTTGTGTTACGGGCCGCCTAGTCCGCGGCCCACATTCTATGCTTGATCTAAATTCTGCATAGACAAGGCACACATCTAGCCTTAGTAGAGGCTATACGCAAAAACACAGGGAAGAATAAATACAATAATATCGGGAAAATTACATTTCATCTTCTGAAACGTCATATCGGTGTTGGCAAGAAGGACGAGGCTTTTCCACGTTTTGTCACTGGTGGGTTATTGGGGGGCAGAAATATTCAAAATGTATTGAGCTGGTCTGAGAACTTGATTTTACATTATCATTCCATACTTAAGACCGAGGTGACCTCAGTCAATTGCATTCAACTTCATTCAACGAGAGAAGCAAGAGACTTTCCACTGCTTCATAGTCTGATACCCAACGATACTAGAACCCAAGGTTCATGTGACAAGGCATCTGTGTATAATACTCGATGAATCATGAGGTGAGAGTTGTATAGAAATCATTGAACGGCAAGAACTTCATTTGAGTGCAGTTGGTCAAGCAGTTGACTCCGCTCGCAACGAGGGTCTTATTCTCCGTTACACCCTCAGACTTTGCTGATAAAGTCTAGGGTCGGGCAAGAATAATACAGCCCTTTTCCATACAAAGGCCCGATCTTCGGTCTCTATGTGGATAGATATTCCCCTTGGCGCTGACTTGGCTTGTTTGACTACACATCTTGAGGTACATTGGACAGCAAATCGAAAACGGTCTTCGGGGTCCTCATCACGCCACACTTCTGGTTTGTCAAATACGACAGTGCAAGTGGACGATCTAGGTATGAGTGAATTAATCACATGAGCTCCGTACCTCGTTTGTCCTGCCCATCAGGATCCCCAGATAAGACTCAGGTATGAAGAGTAGGTGATTACTAGGTACAGCTTTTGCAGAGCGCCAAGCCGAAGCATCACTGTTGATCACGCGATCAATTGCCGACTTCAATTACCATGCTACCTCCCTCTTCAAGGCTTGCTCTTACTGTGGGAATGTGCAATCTTGGCATCCTCATGGGGAATTGAGGTGATGGGCGATGCCACGCTTGCATAGCCACAACAAAAGCTTGGCGCTACCCCACGACTCCTTGACAACTTCAATTCCAGCACCCAATCACGAGATGAGAAGCTACTCATGTCTTGTCCTCTGTTTCAACGAGCTGATTTTAGGTTTTGCCAAGTTTGTTGGGGATAGATTGAAAACCTGTTCAGTTCGATAGACTTACTGTACCTTGTGCCGCATCTTTGCTAATCCCATGCATCGTCCCCGGAGATATCATGATCTACCACACGGTGATAGCTTGCTTTTGCCAAGAAATCCCCGAAGATCGAGGCTACATCACTAATATCTTCTCGTATGAACACGTCACATGCCCAGCTTGGCTCTTGAAGAGTGGGACGGGCCGCAGAGGGCACCCGCCCCGGCGCTGGTGGGATTCTTTTTCAAACGCTCTTCATCGAGACTGCGCTGTCACATATTTCACTCAGTTACTTCCAGACTGCGCCAAGATCTTGGCCGGATTGCAAAGATTATAATTGTCAAAACTGTGGTATTGATGCTACTGACATGCCACCCGCCTCTATTTATATGCCGTGCCTAGCCCCTTTTTCGTTCATGTACATTATGTGTCTAGTGAAGATGGTATCAAATGGAAGCCCCACCAGGGTAAAATTGATTGCGCTTAGAAGTGAGGAGCGTTAAGAAAAAGGCCCATGAGGACACCGCCAAGAGTGCCGGCGACGGGGATTGTCATGATCCAAGAGAAGACCAAGAGACCAACACGCTGGAAGTTGACGGCCTTCAGAGTACCATTGCACAGACCGACACCGACCGTGGCGCCAGTAATGCACATGGAGGTAGAAACGGGTAGAGAGTACTGGGAAAAGACAAGGACAGTAATGGCAGCGCCCATTTCCATGGAAGAACCACGACTGGGGGAGTGGTAGGTGATCTTGTTGCCCATAACTGTTGTCTGTTAGTGCCGCGACTATCTAGAGTTTGAATTAGATGAGACTCACCCTTCATGATGTTGTAGCCATATGTGATGAGACCAAGAGAAATAGTGGCGGAGAGAACAGCAAGCTGCCAGACAGGGACAGGGGCCTTGGCGGCGGCAGCGTCACCGGTACTCCAGGCAGAGTAAATGACAGCCCAGGGACCGACAGAGTTGCCGATATCGTTAGCGCCGTGCGCGAAAGAAGCAGTGCAAGCAGTGATGATCTGTACGAAAGAGTAGGTGTGTTCGACCTCATTGGGGTACTTCTTAGCGCTGGCGTACACGCGCTTCATGCGCTCACCCTCGGGGGTACCGGCGACGCCAGTCTGGGCAGCGTGGATGTCGTAGTGAAGACCGTAGAGAGCACCAACAGTGATCATGGCGGGAATACGCTTAAGGGCAATCTTCATGTTGTGAAACTCGTAGATCTGACCAGCGCCCATTGGGTTGTCGCGAAGGGTGCGCATGGCCCAGCCGAGAGGACCACGCTTCTTCATCATCTTTGCGTGCAACCTGGCCTCGCCCTCAGCCTGGAGTTGCTTGTAGGTAGGGCCCTGGCCAATCTCAGCAGCAGCCAGGGACCTCTCCTGGGGAACGTGGGTCTCCTTCTCGTGGGTCTCCTTGAGAGGCTCATCGCCAGACTCGGAAGACTTCACAGACTCGTGAGAGGGAAGAGTCTGTTCGTGCTCATCTTCCTGGACGACGGCGTAGTTTGGAACCTTGGCCTTCTCGGCATCGGCGGGAGCGGGACGCTTGAAGAGAAGAGGGCCGTAGACGAAGTGGTACCACTTGATGGTGTAGTCCTTCTTGATGACCTTGGCGTGGACGAAGGGGACGAAGAAGAGCGCGGCGAGAAGGCAAAGGCCACCACCAGTTCCCATGGTGACAGCGGCAATGTACCACGCAGGCTTCTTGCTCAGACCAAGGTTGGGAGAGCCCTTGTAGACAATGGAAAGCGTGCAGATAGTGCCGGCAATGAGGAAGAAGAAAGGCGAAGTCCAAACGGCCCAGGGCACGGGGTTCTTGCGAACGTGAACCACGAACTTGATGAGACTGAAGATGATGGCACCGAAGCAGCCTGAGATAGCGGGCGCCATACCCAGACCAGCAAAAATGGCACCAAGACCCTTGCCGCCGTTCCAGCCCCACTGAACCTTGTCGGCGCCAGCAACAGCAACACCGACACCGGCGACGGCAGAGACCAGAGAGTATGTCGAGGAGACGTGGGCAGAGTGTCGCGTGCACCACATGACCCAGGAAGAAGCGGCGGCCAGGGCGCAGGTAAAGGCGAGCATCTGAACACCGGGGTTGCCGTTGAAGACGTTGTTGGGGATAATACCGTTCTTGATAGTGTCGGCCGTACGCGCACCAACAGTGATGGCGCCCAACATCTCGAAGATGGTACCGAAGATCATGGCTTGTCTGTAGGTAATTGATCTTGATGATACACTGGTCGCCCAGGCGTTTGCGACATCGTCTGAAAGTTGAGCCGAGTCAGTGTCTGATGTCTTGAAGCGCCAAAGTATATCAGCAGCCGCAGACCGCTTATCTTGTCTGCGCCTTTTCGCCCGATGGAGGACTGTACTTACTAGCACCGTTGTTGTATGCATCGAGCATAGCAAAGAACGTGCCAATGGCAAAGACGTAGGTGTACTGATCGAGCGCCATTGTGACTGACTGCCGCTTGGCTGTGACTTGGCGAGCAGATTCTGTGGTCTCGATAAAGGAGGGGAAGAGGTGCTTGCTAGAGAAGACGGGACAAGCAAGGCATCGAATGATGGGAAAGGCGCGCACGATAAACCTTTTATGTGCTCTCTTGGCGAGTCTGACTGACAGAAAGTAACCGGTGTCTGCTTTGCAGCAGATACCAGCCTTGGTTCCGAGTGAGCACTCAAATTGTTGTTGATACACCCCCCCATGCTCCGATGTCTTTCTCCTCCTCCTCAATCAAGCGTGGCTCAATGTGTAGTCAATGGCCGACTTAGTTTCTCTTCGTACATGGACACCCCCCTCTCACCCACTTCATCGACTCTATCACTCCAGGATTGACGATGGGACCTCGATGGCAGGCCGAACGGGATGCATCAAGGATGTTGTTTACGGCTAGCGTGCCAAGATGTCGGTATCCCTAGCATGCTAGCAGCTTAGTCTGCGAGACTCTGGGCCCACCCAGCAAGCTTTATTTGGGCGTGGAATCTCATCTGGGGAGGATCTGGAGTTGACGAATCATGGGGCTTCAACCCTCCACGTGTGGCATCTGTTTGCTACAGTTGTTTGACTTGGTCGTTGAACCCCCCTGCTCGTCGAACTTGGCGAACAACATATTAAGACCATGCCAAGCCCTTTAGACCCTTCTTGTTCTTCTCGTCAGTTGCTACGCCGTCTCTTTGCGCACAACTTCTCGTCTGTCTTGCGTTCTTGACGGGCCTTTTGGTCAGAGGCGATGTTGCCAATGGACGATAACCCCACGCACGCCTCCTTCGACCGTCGCCCAACCTACCGATAAGGGTTTCCCTCTCCGGTCTGCCAACATGGACACCGACGTGCGCCTTCTCCACAGACACTGGGAAGAGTCAGACGTCTCTGGAATCCCCGCGAACGAGGGGTCTTCGCTTCCAGTCTTCCGCTCGAACTCTCTCAGCCACCGGCAAGCCCAACCCCCACCAGATCAACGCTGGTCCGATGTCTCGACCACCAGGAATGCGCGTCGACAGCACGTTGCGAAAAGTCTGTTGCCAAACCTTTTCCCAGCAGCTCTTGGCGCTCGGTCCCCATTGCGGTATAGCCCCGTAATGTCACCACCAACTTTCCGATGAGAGACAGGCCAGCCGGCGAATTACGAGCCAATATTCACTGACGCCGCACATGTCCATGCTTCTAGCTGAAGACCACAGGTGCCAACCGTGGCCAGAAGACTCGGGCGCCTCGCAATTTGACAAATGCTCCTGGCTGTGAGCTGATTCACGAATTCCTCTAGTCCACTCGGTCTCCCGATCGAGAGTCTTCGCCCGGTTTGCTTTGGACCGAACGCGATCGAAGAAACTCTAGCCCGCCGCGGCAAGCCGGAGAGCCCTGGTGAGGGTGAGCCGCTCTTTTGGGGCCGACTCATGTTCCTCCTACGCTCTTGTGGTGCTTGGCGATGTCGCACGTGTCAGCCCTTGGTGCACAACTCCAGCGAGTTCAGCCCGTGCTCAAGACACGTTTTCGGTCAATTTCTCGAGGGATTCCATCGCGTGGACCGTGATGAAGCTATCTTCACCACCAAAATTTGGACTGAAGTTCTAGAGGTTCACAACCTGTTCATCGCCAAGTCGGGTATCCGATGCCAGGACGCGTCCAAGACTTACAACCTGTCGATCGGTATTGAAGGAACGTCCTCCATGGTAGTGGTGAAAGGTTGGCAAAGCTTGCCACAGAACCAAGCTTCTGCCTCCCTGATGACAAGAATCTCGGCGCTCCAGTCCAGCGCCTGATGCGCCGCAAGTGCTGTACGTCACAACATTGTCAAAATATTTGCGAGCCTGACGGATCTTCAGCTATGGTGAGACATTCCGAAGTCACGCTCGAGGTTTAGTGACCCGAGGATACGGAATCGATAGCTCGTAACCCTGCAGTTGAAAAACTTGTGATCCGGCTCTTCAAGGTCCAGCCGTTCCCGCGCCGCTTATATTGGACCCCACTTCGGCTGAGCCGCCCAACACTTCGCCGTCCCCGAGCCCACGTGCTTGATCCGTAGGTCAGGACAGACCGAGTTCACACAACACCACATAAGAGGCCAAGCCGGTCTTCATCGACTGGGCGGTGCTGGGTGATGGTTCCTCAGGAGAGGCGACCCGATCCCTCTTAATCCTCCAATCAAGACCGCCTCAATAATATGCAATTGCCACTGTTGCATGAGTGCATTTGCGCATGGCCCCTGACTCTGTGCGCTATTGGGTCCGGAACTGTAAAAGAATGTTGCTTGTGCTTCAATCTAGAAGGCCTGTAGAAAACTTGCATACTTATACGGTCGGGGTGGCCGTCAACGTGGGTCCCTCTCATCGGCAGCCTCAGCGAAGCTGTCCAGCATTTTCCTTTCAACAGTGATGCCAAGGTGACACTTCATAGTGTTATTATGAGCAAGAAGATATTTCAATCATAGAATCCCACCTCTATTAATGGTTACTCAGACAATCGAGGTTTGCTACAAATAGCGTTCTGCTCCTCTGCTTGCCCCTTTTCGATCACCGTCGGTTGCTTGGTCCAACTGGAACGTAGCAGACTCAGTTCTGCAATACATTTTGATGGGAAGAGACGCTTTTGTTCGTACATGGGTCAAGTAGTGATCTTTGACTTTCTTCTAACCCAGCTCCGTTCTTGATAGGTAATGAATATGGCTCTAGCTCGAGCCTACTGCGTAGAACCCAACCCTGAGGACAGCGAGGGGTCGAAGCAAGGAATGGCATGGGATACTAGGCTATAGTAAACTCTGATACCATGCAGCACGGTGTTGCATCGAGCTAGCATGTCTTCCCGCTATGCATGAACCGGCATCTCGTTTCGGCCGGAATCAGGGGTCTGCCGGCATGAGTGGGCCACGGCCGGAGTTTGACCGCGTAGCAGGCACTCGGGAGACGGCGTGGCAATGCCCGGCCTCTCTCCGGTTGTATTAGGCCTTGATTCATCACTGTGCGTCGAACAACCGTTGTATTGACCTGCAGGGTGTTGCATGATGCGGCGTATGAAATACATCGTGTAGAATTTTCAGTGAAAATGAACTTGTCTAAAGTTTTCGAGCCTTAGTTAATCAGAGCATTCTGTATTTCAAGAGATCTTATTTCGAGGAAAATTCAGCGAGAAGACTGTACATACTTCATGTCTTTTCGCCACCTACTTACATCTGGCGAGAATCATCTATAGATAATTTTAAAAGGAAGAATCTTGAATCTCAAGCCGCGTTTGGTATTGATTACTTTCGGTATTGATAGCTTGGGTGGCAATTATAGTTCGAGAGTCTTCCGCTATCTATAACCTATGATCGGAATGGAAGCAAAAGCCTCAATATAGAAACTAAGAAATGGAACAAGTTGTTTAGATTGTTGCAGCTTGATGTGCGTGGTAACACTAGGTGAAGTTCTGTCGAGTTCGGATTGGGATCTACTATTCACACAGTAAGATGGCTGGTTAACTACCTATAGTAGGTCGGTGGACGAGACGGTGCAAAGTTGCTGCAATAACGTTCATCAATGGTGCACTGAGCTAATACATCCTCAACTCACCGGAGGAACACGACTTCCTGCCTTGGGCGGTGATGCCTGCTACGGCATGACGAGGGTCTCTTCACAGACACATAGAACACTACTCAGCTTATTTTTTATATCGCTAGCGCAGTGCTCGAACCTCGCTAAGCGTAGTCACTCTGGGTCATAAGATGTCACGGGGGGCTATGCATAAGTAGAAGGGTTAAATCTTGGATTATATATTATACTATCTTATAAGAGGGTATTATATAAATTCTACGGGGTACTATATACGGTTATATAATTCTAGCGCGGTATACCGTATAGTTACCTTTCGCCTCACTTGAGGACATCACGGCGTAAAATGGGACAAACAAACAAACAAACAAACTGAGCTAATACAATATCAGGATGCTTGATTTCCTAGAACGGCGCATATGAAACCACTGGTGTGGTTTATTTTCTGCATGAAGTAGGTACCAGTATAGCTAAGGCGCACCAAGGCTGCCCCCCCCCCCCCCCCGTGCTGCCATACGGAGATGAAGTAGGTTGGCTAAGTACAAGCAAGCTTAGAGAGCCTATGAAGAAGGAGCTAGAGCAAGTTTTACAGGATTTGAATGTTATCTCGGCCTGACTCGTTGACCTGCATATCTTGCAGAGGGGAAATATGGATGATGTTGATCTTCGATGTCGTCCAGCTAGCAGAGCAACTTCTCTACAAGCGCATCAGTAGATGGCTAGAAGTCAAAGAAGACAATGTGAGTTTTAGACACTTATCAAAGAGCAACTGATTCACTTGATCTGCGGAGACTTCACTAAAGACAGGTCAAATGGCCCCCCATTCCCGGAACAAATTGTGGAATAGGTAGTTAGACCCTTGGGCCAAATATGTCAGATTCGCTTTCCTTTTTGGTTTTGTAGCTGTGGTTTTAACTTAGCAGAATTACAGAGGTAATCAACATAGTAGACATGGTTCCTGATGTTAGCGTCTGCGAGACACTTCAGGCCAAGGAAACCTTTCCCTAGTTACTTCGTCACGTCATCATGGGCTGAATGTAAGAAAGGTTATGTGGCCACACATCGCTGTTCGCCTAAGCGCAGTTAGTCTGCCACTTCGGTAGACTGCTTCTTAGGTATTTGTACTTTAAACCCACTGCAGTAGTCCTAAGTTGTCTGGGACGACGGTTCTGGAGGCCCTGCCATATTCATCCGGACAAATTTCAGAACAAATTATCGACGCAGCAGATGATAGCCCGATGGTTACCATGGAGAACTTCCGGCTTTATTCCAGGGATTAATGAGCTATAAGGACCCTGCCTTAAATCATTTTGTAATCTGTATCTCGAGACGTTGAAGCGAATGATCCCTATTTTGGCGTTGATATCTGATAACTATTTGACGATACTTTGTGGTGATAGCCCGAATTTGTCTTGTCGGCTGTCAGTAGGGAGCGCCGACTGGCCACAGTCGGCTGCAGCTGTGAACATCTCCGTGGTAACCTTCACGTGACCATATCGGAAAAGAACCAAGTCCCGAAGAATTTGACGCTGTTGCGAGTCATGTTCAGTCGATTGCTCGCAGCACGACTTTCAGCAATTGAAGTTGGCCTTGGCTTACTTCAAGTCACTTAGGTGTCCATGAGCTTGGCAGTAAAGACATCTACATTCGTATATCGTTCGACATCAGTCCGCCAGCGAAGCGGTCTCGCAACCCCACGGTAAAGTATCGAGTTCCTCTCGTCTTGTCGTCTTTGGTAAGCCTAAGTTTGTTTCAGCTATCGGCAATCAACGAGTGATCGTCGACTGTCTCCGGTGAGTCTAGCGCCAAGCGGAACATTTCGATGGCGGACCTGTTTGTTGTTGGAATTTATATCCATAAAGACTTTTGCATCGGTCGTTCCAGTCTTCGTCCGATCCCTTCAGACATTCTCGGACCACCGACGACTCCAAAGTCTGGTTAGAGGCATTCGGCTAGCGGCGCCAAACACGCCATCCCGCGATTGTGGATGGAGGCTGGAAGGTCTAGCTTGTCCTACCTTACCTCTGATAGGGGAGGTCTATGTGGCTAAATTTAACCGCTGCTGGACCGCCCTCCATGGGAGTGCCTGATATCTTTTTGACGCGTAGAATCTTTGCAGAAGGGATTCCAGTTTTTGGAAACCGGATTTTCGACCCTCAGATTGTGTCGCTGATGTGACTGGACCACTAGTCCCGAGTCTCTGGGGCTGACGGTGGATCTCGTCTGCTCCCAGTCTAGCCCCGACAGCTGAAGTACGCGGTAGCCAACACTCAGTGTTATTAGGAAATCATGTAAATTGACTTCTCTCCACGTGAATATCAGTTGAGCCAGTAGCGCGTAATGATCACGAGAGCGAAGAGTGTGACAAACTGAGGACGTGATGTCACATAGCCCCCCCGGCCCTGACAGAGAACCAACTGGCCTCCTTACGCCAATCGGTCCGCCGAGCGAATGATCATCCGCTTACTCCGCAATCTGAGCGTCCTTCGGTCCATCTTTATATCGAGCCCCGGACCATTTACCCCAGACTCGATGAACTGCCGTCCTCCTCCATGTCCAATCACCACCATAGAGACTGATTAAAATCCCCACCTCACTTACCCTCGTCTGACAGCCATCCTCCAAGCTGTTGATTCGGGGGAATTGGAGCCATATCGAGTAAATGATGGACATGCCAAGGCTGGGTCGCGAACTCTCTGTGAGTTACCGTAGGATGTCCTCTCTACCGGTATTCTCTCTGGAGATCCACCATGTCTTCTTCAACTGGCTGCTCCAACCTTCACCCCGCACCTCGACCGAGCATGGATGGGGCCATCTTTGCTTCCCCGGCGACTTAGAGCATGCGGTGACCATCCCCGCAATCCTCTCCAAACGCTCGTTACCCCAGATCAGTCCAGAAGACCGTTGCTCCACCCGAGCCTTTTGTTCACAGCAAGGAATTGAGTACCCGTAGTGCTGTGCGACTGGTCTCTTGATCGGGGACTGCTAGCCATGTAATCATGGAGAAGCCAAGAAGCAGCCAAGGATGGTCATGTCCATCTCGCTTTCGTGCAGGGGAAGATCAGGCTCGAAACGACCGAAAATGCGGCCGGCTTGAGCTCTTATAAGCTTTCGTCTGACCCGGGTCTCCTCGTTCCAGAAGAATTCTATTTGTTCTCGGACGCGTCTCACCGCATTGCAAATTGCAGTCCATCGGTCCAAAGGCTACTGCTACGTCCGCCTCGTTACTGAGGTTT